TGGTCTAAAGCACCTACTTAGAACAAGCTTAGCAAATCACAGGGACCGTGGTTCAATCCCCCAGCACCACATGCCAGCCAGCCCCACCCCCTGGTGGGGTGAGTTGGCCACACACACACACACACACACACAAAAATAAAATTAAAAAAAAAAAAGATTATAAAAGGATCTCTCTAGTGGGTCGGTTTTTTTTAAAATTATTTATTTATTTATTTGTGTGTGCGCGTGTGGATGTGTTGCCAGCTCAGCACACCAGGGGGCGGGGCTGGCTGGCATGTGGTGCTGGGGGATTGAACCGTGGTCCCTGTGCTTTGCTAAGTTGTTCTAAGTAGGTGCTTTAGACCACTGAGCCATCTCACCAGCCCCTAGTGGGTTGTTTTTTGTTTTTTGTTTTTTTTTAAAGATAGGGCCTCACTGTATAGTTCAGGCTGCCCCTGAACTAACTAAGTAGCCCATGCTGGTCTCAAATTCACACCAATTCTCCTGCTTCAGCTTCCTATGGCTGGGATTACAGGCATGTGCCACCATACCTGGCTAGTGAGTGAAATCTTAAAATTTAGAATCCAATAGAAACAATAATGATCATGTATATTTGTGCAATTTAAAAAACTGCCTTTAAAGGGTTGAGGTTCCAGATCAGTGGTACAGTATTTTCGGAATATGTGCAAAGCCCTCAGTTTAATCCCTAGTACTGCCATGAAAAAAAAATTATCAGAAAAAAAAACAAAGCAAAAAACAGCCTTTGACATAGTGAATTTTCTGTAAGAATTTATCCTAAGAATATAGATCTAAGAATAAATTACAATGGCAAAATTGTGTACAACTAGAAACAATCTAAATGTCCCACACTGTGAGTTTAAAAAAACTAAACACATATATACATATTAAATGCATGAGACTGAGGTATAGTTCAGTGGTAGATTGCATCCTTAGTATTAAGGTCTTAGGCTCAACACCCTACTACTACAGAAGGTAAATGAAAGGAAAAGAAATGAGCAAATAAGACATATGAATATTATTTGATTTTCCTTTCTTTCAGAAAAAATATTAGGGGGGCCTGGCCCTAGCTCAGGCCTTTAAGTGGCTGCTTCCACAAAGCTGTCAGCCTCAGGTTGCTGGAGTTCGAACCTCACACCTCTCCAGCTGGCCAAAAGTGCCCTGAAGGCATTCCAGGAACCAAAAAAAAAAAAATTAGTATCTGAAGTTTTACCATGATAATTGAGTCCAGTCTTACATGTGGTGGCAGAATCAACTATATCAGGGGCTGGAGAGATGGCTCAGTGGTCTAAAGCACCTACTTGAAACAAGCTTGGCAAAGCACAGGGACCGCGGTTCGATCCCCAGCACCACATGCCAGCCAGCCCCGCCCCCTGGTGGGCTGAGCTGGCCACACACACACACACACACACACACACACAATAAATAAATGTAATAAATAAAAATAAATAAATATTTAAAAAAAAAAAAAAGAATCAACTATATCAAAGGTCAGTAAGATAGCTTAGTGGACTAAGCGCCTGTTTAGGCAAGCGCAGGGACCAGGGTTTGATCCCACCACCACATGTCATGAGGGTACTGCCTCTGGGTGTGCTGATTCAATACTGGGTGTGGTGGTTCGCGTTTGTAATCTGAGCACTGGGGAGGCTGAAAACAGGAGGATCACTATGAGTCCAAGCTGCATAGTGAGAAATTCAAGTCCTATCAAATACATTAAAAAAAAAATTACCTGTATTAGTATCAGTGATGACAAACCTTTTAGAGCTTTCAATGATACCAGCCTAATGATGTACAAGTACCATAGTTTGGCACTGACCCATATACTTATGAACAGAACATTTCTGTAATTGTCTCCTCATAAATATCACTGATAGTTATCTTGTTTTCCCTGTGGTACATATTTTCATATTTAATTAAATGTCCCTTGGGGCTGGAGAGATAGCTCAGAGGCATAAGCACCTATCAGGCAAGCATAAGGACCTGAGTTCAATCCTTGGCCCCACATGCCATGTGGTCTTGGTCCCAGTAGCCCAGGCATGCTGTGTTGGCCCCGGATGCGGGCACCCAACATGCAGCCCCAGAACCAGGTGTGGTGGCTCATGCCTGTAATCCCAGCACTTCGGAAGTTGAGCCAAGAGGATTTCTGCAAGTTTGAGATCAGCCTGGGGGCTACAAAAGTGAACACAAGGCCAGCCTAAACTGCATAGTGAGACCCTATCTCAAAAAAAAAAAAAAAAAAAAAAAAGAAAAAAGAAAAGAAAAGGAAAAGTCTCATGTGTTTTATTAATGTAGATGAGTAGACTAGTTCTATGGAGGGAAGCACCTGCCTATTTTTGTCTTAAACTTCTTTCTTTTCTAAACATATGTGAGCAGGGGTGATGGCCCATGCCTGCTATCCTAGTATCCCAGCACTTGGGAGGCTATGCCAAGAAGACTGGAAATTCAAGTCCTGTTTATGCAACTTAGTATGACCCTGTCTCAAAATAAAAAGGGCTGAGGATGTAGCTCAGTATGAAAGTCCTGGTTCAGTTTTCAGTTGTCAAATAAAACACTATAAAACTCCCACACATACACCATTCAACCCACCTATCTCATGATTCTATTCCTGGCAAGTGTAAGGTCCTAAGTTAGATCCCTGGTACCAAATAAAAAAAGTGTACTATATATAGCATGTTAATTTGAATCACTTACCATTATCTGTCATTTCAAAATCGCCACTTGTATCATTATTAAACGTTACAGTTTCTCTTGGAATACTTTTCAACAGAACACTTCTATATACCTACAGGAGGAGGAGAAGGATTTCTAAGTCACAAACAGGCAGAAGTTAAGCAAAATCAAGCTAATTTTAAAAATGTATGTCATAAGGGGGATAATCAAGGGTAAAATGTTATCAATTCTGGTAATCAGAATAGGGACTACTCTTTCAGGTCCTCCTTTCCAAGATGAACGAAGAAAAAGAAGGAACAATGGTTGTGCCAAAAAGGGCGGGGTCATGTGCAGCCTATTTGCTGTACGAATTACACCCGGTGGGTACCCAAGGATAAGGCCATTAAGAAGTTTGTCATTTGGGACATAGGAGAGGCCACTGCCACCAGGGACATTTCCGAAGGGAGTGTCTTTGACAGTTATGTCCTTCCCAAGCTATAGGTGAAGCTGTATTACTGTGTGAGTTGTGCCATTCACAGCAAAGTGGTCAGAAATTGGTCTCGTGAAGCCCACAAGGATTTAACTACCCCACCCTGATTTAGACCTGCTGGTGCTGCCCTATGACCTCCACCAAAGCCCATGTAAGGGGAGCCGGGTCTTAATGGACTGAAGAAAACTCTCTTGAGAAAGAAATAATAAATTGAACATTATACTTTTTTTTTTTTTTTTTTTAAAAAAAGACTACTGAGAAGAATTTTTTTTTTTTTTCTTTTGCGGAACCAGGGATTGAACTCAGGCCTTTGTGCTTGCCAAGGAAGCGCTTGTTCCACTGTGCCATCTCCCCGGCCCCAAGAATCTACTATTTAAAATGTCACTTGGTTTACTAAAAAGAATGACTGAAAAAGAATAATTGATGAGTATGTAGTACCAAATAAAAGCAATCTCAAAGACTTGAACTCATTCTGCCTTTTAATTCCTTATATACAAATAATTTGGTCTCACTGGACTGTCCCTAGCCCATTCCAGTTTCTTTTTTGGTGATCATCTGAAAGTTTTCCCCCTCTCTGCCCCTAAACTCTTTCCTACCTCCAAGATAGTTATAAAAGCATGATGCATTCTATTTCATCCTACAGGTTACTGGCATTGAGAGGACATTCAAGAAGTAGTGTCTTGACCAGTTTTGATCTATACTAATGTCACCTTAATGGTCTTAGTAAACCTCAGTATGTTACAGAATTTAATTAATAAATGCCTCTACATGCTTTTCAGATGTCTTTATTCTGTTCATTATTGGTTTATTTTGGGCATTAAGGAAAGAAGAAATCTTGGAGCTCTCCTAGAAGGTTTGATTACTTGCCCTACCTCTAATTTCTGTTTATAACCTCCAGAGATAGAGAAGAGGGCATTATACTCCCTAAGAGTAGAGCAACAGGGTCCTTAAGTGGTCAAAACTTTACAGTAACTTGTTCATGTGCTTCAGTTCCAACACTACAACAATGCAAAGGAAATATTCATTAAATGCTTCGTATGAGCCACAATATTGTGCTAATATTTTACATGTCCATGACAAGACTTTCTTTCTTTTTTTTTTTTTTTTTTGTATTTTAGGGAAGGGTCTACAGGGTGTTCAGGGTCTCACTACTAGATTGGACTCATAGTGATCCGCCTATTTACAGCCTCCCAAGAGCTGGGATTACAGGTTCGGGCCACCACACCCAGTCTCAATTGCTGTCTCAGTGTGCCCTGGGAGCAGGGCCAGCATGGTAGGCCTGGGGATCAAACCCCCAGCTGAGCTATTTGGCCAGCCCTCACGTCAAGATTTTCACCTTCGCTACTGCAACAAATTACCAGAGATATTTAACATCTATTTAAAGATGCATTAAGATTCTTCACAGACGGCATAAGACACTGCAGTTAAGTTAGTAAGTCCTCGAAGTACACTGTATTTATTTATTTATTTATCTATTTATTTATTTGAAGAACCAGGGATTGAACTCAGGCCTTTGCGCTTGCCAGGGAAGCACTTATTCCACTGAGCCATCTCCCTGGCCCCGAAGTACATTGTATTTAAACATCATTAGAAAATTAAGTTTCATACAATTAAAGAACATTACTATTATGCATATATCTTTCACTACATTTTCTAGTGAAACACATCTTCCTTTAGCAAATGAACAAACAGAATGGCAGAACTTATGAGTATATGCAGGAATATAGATGAATCAGAATCAGGCAGATTTCTGGCTTCCATGTGAAACTATCTTTTAAAGAACTATCTCTTGAGTTTAATGGTAGCCATTAAAGTAGAACTATCTAAAGTACAGTAAAACTAGAGAGGTAGTTTACTTTTTATATGACTTGTCAGTAGAGAAATAGTACAAATCTATTTCTGGACAGTAGGAGAAATAATGTAACTCACATGACTATTAGCTTGGGGCTGATTCCTATAACTTTTCATTATTTCTTGAAAAGTTCTTTCTTCTTTCGTTACCTAAGGAAAATAAAAACTACATTTATCAACTGCTTTTGAAAGAAAAATGGATCTGAACAAAAACTTCAATTACAGGCAGGCATTGAGAGCAGTCTTGCAGAAAGCCATTAACCCTAGGTCACTCCATGACTAAAAACCACTAACACTTATGATTTTTACTACTTTTAAAGTTCAGGCTTTGTGGCCTACGGGGCCTGAGTTAATAGTTTCATTAATCAAAAAGCAAATTTCTATAGTATAACTCTACTGAAAGTACATTTCTTTATAAAATGATATAAGAAAACTCAGACCTGCTCAATCCTCTGCAGTCTCCAGTTTTATTAGTTTTAAGTACTTATTTAAAATAAAATTAACCACATACTAAAGGCTAGGAAATGTCTTATGATTATCAATAAAACTAAGTGGTTATTATATGAGTAAGCTTTTAATTTTCAGGACAAACTATAGGGTTTCTAGTGTTGCAGAAACTGCAGCAAACCAGAAAGAAAATGCTTTGCACCAAAGAGTTGGAAGGCAACTTTTATTAAGGCCAGTGGGCTGATAGTATCTGGGTTCAAATCATTAGCATTGGCTTTGAGTACATTTTATAACCAGGAAGTATAAAGTCAATAGAGGATTAGTTTATAATTGATTATATATATTGAGTCATATATTGTCATGCAGATGTGTCTAGGGCAGATTTTAATTGGAGGGGGTCATTTATCATGAGGCAAGGCAGGGTCCCAGGCAAGCAAGCAAGATTTAATGTGACCTTGACAGGGTTGTTTGCCCTGGGTGGACGGTTCTTGAAGCTATCAAGACAGGATATCTGTGTAGTCCATTGTGCAGTTGGTCAGATAGGGCTAAGTCAATTTTATCTATGAGCTGCAGCTGTGTAGTCAAGGCCAGCTGAGACTGTCAGCCCAATTATTAAGCATTATTTAAAAATTTTTCTCACTATACTAGTATAGACGAAAGTCACAGTTGTTGCCCAAAGAAAGGAAATAGATTAGTAATCCAAACAGAGAATCCCTTCTGTTTTGTCTGTTACAAAGTTTGGTTAAGTTACTCCTTTCTCTGCTTCCCTGTCCATTAGCACTAAACCCATTCTCTACAAAGATGGCAAAAACCTCAACTTTGACAATTTTCTGGAAAACACACATGATTAATTAATAATATTTATTAAGATCTATTTTATAGAGATTTTTTAAAAGTTAATTTTACTGGTACACTTTCAAAATACATCATGATCACATTTATTGTGGGGACTTTGTACCTAACATCACATTTATTGTGGGGACTTTGTACCTAACATCACATTTATTGTAGGGACTTTGTACCTACACATAATATATCTGGATTCTTCTTGTCCCCATTTTTTTTCATTCTCTTCAACTCTTCTTCCCCTCTTTATTTACAAAAGCTGTTTCCATTTTTTTCTTTTTATGTATAGAGATTTTTAAAGAGGCATCATGAAAGAGGTATCATAAAGTATGTGATAAACAAGGGACCAGGGATATAGCTCAGTGGCACAAGCTCCTGCCTGAAAACATGTCCTTTGCCTCAAAAGATTGAAAATCAAGTTTTAAAACTTATGGGCTGGATGTAGTGGTATATGCATGTAATCCCAGTATTTGGGAGGCTGAGGCATGAGGATCATTGTGACTTTGAAGCCCACCTCAATTATGTAGTGAGACCCTATCTCAAAAACAAAATAAAAAACAAAAAACTGTATGGATTTGTTAGGACTGCCAATTTGGCTAACACAGTGAGGCAAAAGTTGTCAATGGATGTGGTGGCACAAGTCTAATCCCTGCATTTGGGACGCTGAGACAAAAGTATCACTGCAAGGTTAAGGGCAACCTGCTCTCCAAAATGAGCTCAAGGCCAGCCTGAACTACATAAAGAAACTGTCTCAAAAAGACAAAAAACAAAATCAAAAATAAAAATTGCAAGTGATTTTTTCAGGTGAATCAGAATTTTTTAAATAGGCAAAATATGCTACTTTATGACTTAAAACTTGGTGTAGCAACTGAAAGTAAAATGGATTTCTGAGGCGGCACAATAATTTACTGGAAGATAACAGGACAGAAACTCTTACCAGATAATAGTGAGAAGATCCTAAGTTGTCATTTATTATTATTATTGGTCATTTATTATTTTAAGTTTGGACAAGATATTTTCAGTTCTGGGGCTTATTCACCTAAAATATAAAGATCATTTTTCTTTACTGTTATGGTTTGTGTCTAGATGTCTCCTTAAGCCCTCATGAAGTCAAAGGGCTTTTTCAGAAGTGGCTGAATCTACAGTGTGTAACACTGGGATTAAGGGCATGTGATTTATTCAGTCTAATTGGTTTGGCATAGTGATTGGTCTGGCTAGGAATAAAGGTGTGAGTCCTATCCCTGGCCTAGGATGGGTAGTCTTATCTTCCTCTCTTGTTGTGTTTGCTGTCTTCCACTGCCATGGAGGGTTGCTCTCTCGTCAAGCCAGTGGATTATGCACTGGAACTTCTATAAACTATGAGCTAAATAAATCTTTCTTCCTTAACTTATTTTGTCTCAGCAATGAGAAAACTACTGAAGATATTTACCATATAGGATGTCATAGGGTAGGGGTAGAAATGTTACTGTTTACATTTACTAACTCCTTTATGACCAATATAACTTTTTTAAAAAAGAAAAATTCCAAAACAATAGGGCAACAATGGTTAATATATTGTGTATTGTTACCTTTATTCAGAGAATAAGATATTGCCATTTAATTATCCAAACCATATTAATACAAATTTTTCTTTACAATGAACTAAGAGAAATTATAAATATAAATTTAATTTTTTGGCTTTTTCCTCCATGCCCCATCCCAGTTTTTCATTCCTTTTGAAATTTCTTCCCATTTTACAATATCTACTGCACATTATGGATCTTACTTACTCTTTCAGATTCTCACACTATGGAGACAATATGAAGTTTATACATATTCATCTGGGTTTATTTCATTTATAAGAATGGTCTCCAATTGCATTCATTTATCTATAAAAGTCTCCAGTTATGCCTGATTGGTACTCTATTATCTAAAAAGAGTGTATTTTTTTTTATCCATTTCTCAGTTGACGGGCATTTGGGTTGTTTTCAAGATGTAGATATTATAAACTGTGCTGCTATAAACATGGGTACACATATATTGCTGTGGTATGATGTTTTTAATTCTTCCGGGAAGATACCCAGAAGGAGAATAGCTGGGTCAAATGGGACCTCCAGTCCTAGTTTTTTTTTTTTTTTTCTTTTCTATTTTTAGGGAAGGGTCTACAGGGTGTTCAGGGTCTCACTACTAGATCGGACTCGTTGTGATACACCTGTTTACAGCCTCCCAAGAGCTGGGATTATAGGCAAACACTACCATGCCCAGTCTCAATTTCTGTTTTAGTGTTCTCCGGAGGCGGGGCCAGCATGGCAGGGATGGAGATCAAACCCCCTGACCCCTGTTCCTGCTTGCAGGCTCTTTAAACTGCCAAGCTATTTGACCGGCCCCTTGAAGTTGAGAAAGTTTTTTTTTTTTTTGGCTGGCTCAGGCTGGTTTACGGGTGGGTTTGGTAAGGTATGTGGGGCTGGGGTTCAACCATGGTATCCTGTGGTAGACAGGCGCTTAAACAACTGAGCTAACCTGAAGCCCCCCCCCCATCCTAGTTTTTTGAGAGGTCTCCATACTGATTTCCACACCAGTATACACTCCCACCAAAGTGGAGAAAGGTTCCTTTTCCTCCAAACTCCTGCCAGAATCTGTTATTCATTGATACCTTGATGACAGCCATTCTTTCTGGGGTGAGATGGAATTTCAGTGTTGGTTTAAGTTTCGTCTCTCAAATGACCAGTGATGGTGAACATTTTTTCATATATTGATTTGCTGTTTGTATTTCTTCATCTGAGAAGTGTGCATTCATCTCAGATGCCCACTTTTGGACTGGGTCTGATACTCTGAGTTCTTTATATGTTCTCAATAGCAATCCTTTGTCTGCAGAATAGCTGGCAAACATTTTGGAAAAACTTTTTAATAAAATGAGATCCCAGTTGTTGATTCTTTGTGATAATTCCTTTGGGGTTGGGTTTTTATTTATAAAGTTTTTGCCTACACCAATATCTTTAAGGGTTTTATTACCTTCCAGCAGATTTAAAGTTTCTGTTTTAATATTTTACCTTTTTGAATAATCTTGAATTTAGTTCATGGTGAAAGATAATGGGTTAAATTCGAATCCTTGGCCAAGCACATTTCCAGTACCATTTATTCAAGAGGATATCTTTCTTCCAGTGAATGTGTTTGCCATGTTTTGTGAAGATGAAGTGTGGAGTTGTTTCTTCATCTTCTAATCTGTTCCACTGATCTTTGGGCCTGGTTTTTTTTTTTTTTTTTTTTTTTTTTTGCCAGTGCAATGCTGTTTTTATCACAGTAGCTTTATAGTACAATTTCATGTCATTGCCCAGAACTGCCTTTGCTAGTCTAGGTCTCTTGGTTCCCAGTGAATTTCAAGATTGTTTTCTCTAATTCTGTGAGATATGCTGTTGTTACAATTTTGGTCCGAATTGCATAAAATTTGTATAACTGTTGTGGAAGTATGGCCATTGCCACTATATTGGTTTTTCCTACCGAAGAGCAATAGATATTTTTCCATTTTCTGATATCTGCTTCAATTTCCCTTTTAGGAGTACTGTAGTTTTCAATGTAGAAGTCTTTTATATCCTTCATTAGATTGGTTTCTATGTATTTCACTTTTCTGGATGCTTCTGAGAAATGTTTTTATCTTAATTTCTTTCTCCCATCCAAGTACTAACCAGGCCTGACCCTGCTTAGCTTCCGAGATCAGACGAGATTGGGCGTGTTCAGGGTGGTATTTAATTTCTTTCTTAGTGAGTCTGTTATTTGTGTACAGGAAGACTACTGATTTTTGAGTGTTGACCTTGTAATCAAACTATGCTACTGAATTTGCTTATTATATCTAACAGATTTTTAAAGGAGTTTTTGGGGACTTCTATGTAGAGCATCATGTCATCTGCAAATAATAATTTAACTTCTTCCTTTCCTATCACTTTTTATTTCTTTTTCTTGTCTAATTGTTCTGGCTAGACTTTCTATGACTATTTTGAATAAAAGTACACAGTGGACATCCTTGTCTTGTTCCTGATTTGAGAGAGAAAGTTTTCAGTTTTTGTCCAATCTTAAATTCACTGATTCTTTGTATTGTTTGTTCAGTCTTCAATACGTTAATTTCTGCTCTGATTCTTATAATTTTCTCCCTTGAAGGAGTTTTTGGCTTAGCCTACTCTTCTTTTTCTAGAAGTTTGAGGTTTACCATTAAATTGCCTATTTATACTTATTCTGTGTTCCTGATATGGGTATTCACTGCTATAAATTTCCCTCTTAGGACTGCTTTAATCGTGTCCCACAAATTATAGTATGTTGTACTGCCATTATCATTTATTGGTAGAAACTGTCCAATTTTTTTTTTTTCAGTACTGGGGATTGAACTCAGGATCTTGAGCTTGCCAGGCAAGTGCTTATTCTACTGAGCTATCTCCCCAGCCCCTAATTTCTTCTTTAATTTTATCTGTGACCCATGGGTTGCTCGGGAGGGTGCTATTTAATGTTCATGTATTTATGAAGTTCTTATGGCTTCTTTTGCCACTGATTTCCAATTTCATGGTACTATGGCCTGATAATATGCATGAGGTAATTTCAATTCCTTTGCATTTATTTAAGCATGTTCTATGAAGTAGTATGTAGTTTATTTCTGAGAACATCCCATGTACAGCTGAGGAGAATGTGTAGTCTGATGTGGGTGGAAAACTCCGTAGACATCTACTAAGTCTATTTGTTCAAAAGTGTGGTTCAATTCTAATATTTGATTGTTGGCTTTTTCTAGTTGATCTGTGTTTCTGTGACACTGGGGAATTGAGATTGGCCAATACAATTGTATGAGTACTTATCTGATTTTTTAAATGCCCATTTATATTTGCTTTACATAGTTGGGAGCACTGGTATTTATTGCATATATATTTATGATTATTATCTCTTCCTCTTTGATTGTTCCCTGTTATAAGGATCTAGTGACCCTCTTTATCTCTCTTAATCATTCTTGGCTTGAAATTCACGTAGTCTCCAAATAGAACAGTTGCCCCTGTTTTATCCTAGTTTCCTTTCATATGGAGTATTGTTTTCCAATCTTTGCCTTTCAGTGAATGAATTTTAGAAGTAAATGTGTTTCTTGTATGCAGCGTATTGTTGGGTCTTGCTATTTGATACAATCTGCCAGTCTGTTTCTTTTGGTTGGTGAATTAAGATCATTAACATTGATGGTTATAACTGATATGCATGGACTTATTGTTGTCATTTTATTTTCTGCTCTGGCTCTCTTTTTTTTTTTTTTTTCACACAGTTTAATTGTTTGCCATACCGATTCCTTCTGTTAGGGTTCATGGAGTTGTAATCCTTGCTATCTCTTTCTAGAATGTCCTTTGAAACATTTTGGAGTGCTGGTTTGATGGTCATAAAATTCCTCAAATGTTCTTTGTCACAGAAGTGTTTTATTTCTTCATCAGCTAGCTAGCTTGCCAACTTTCTTTTTTCCTTCTTTCCTTCCTCCTCCCACACCCCTGCACTTGGAATCAAATTCAGGACCTCACACTTGGCAGGCAGAAACTGTCCTGCTGAGTTATACCCGCAGCCCTCTATATCTGTTTTGAAAGACAGTTTTGTGGGGTACATCAATCTGGGTTGAAGTTTGTTTCCTTTGGAAATTAAAATATTTCACTCTAAACTCTCCTTGACTTGACGGTTTATACTGAGAAGTCTACGGTGATTCTGACTGGCTTTCCTTTCTAGGTGATTTGTTACTTGTACCTGACAGCTTTTAAGATTCTATTCTTGTGTTGAATTTCTGGGATCTTGACTATGAAATGCCTGGCTATCACTTTGTTTTGATCCTGACTACTTAGATCAGGATCCAATTAGTATGCCTGTATGCCTTACTTATCTGTAGGTCAAATTGTTTTTTTTTTTTCTATCAGGGAAGTTTTCAGCTATGATGTCTGTGAATAGCTTTTTTTTTTTTTTTAATATCATTTGTGCTATCTCCTGCCTTTTCATTGACTCCAAATCATTAAGTTATTTATTTTTTTTTCTTCATTTAGCTGGGGCTATGTTGATTTCTCATGGTCCCTTGTTATTTTTAAGAAATTTTTTTTTCATGATTGCTAACCAAAAGCCTATCCTTTATACTGAGATCCTGTCCTCACATTGGCCTAATCTGTTGTGGGTACTCTCCTTTCTTTCTTTCTTTTTCTTTTTAGCACTAGGGACTGAATTCAGGACCTTGAGCTTGCTAGGCAGGTACTTATGATGCTGAGCTATGTCCTTAGCCCTTGCTGCAGATACTTTCAATGGAATTTATTTTTTTAATTGGATACAGAATTTCACTATATAGTTCAGACTTGTAGTGATCCTCCTGTCTCAGCCTTTCCAACGCAGGCATGTACAACCATGCTCAGTTTCAGGACCAGCACAGCATGCCCAGGGTTCCAGGGCTGGCACAGCATGAAGTACCAGGGATGGAATTTGGGTCCGTATGCTTGTTAGGTATGTGTTTAGACCACTAAGCTATCTCCCCAGACCTTCAGTGAAATTGTTAATCTTCTGGATATCTGCTTAAATCTGCCTTATGGATTCCAATTCTTTCCTGTGCTGAGCACTTATGGCTTCCATAATTGTCTTGAGCTCCTCTTTTTTTTTTTTTTCTTTATTCGCTCTAGTCACTAAGCATGCTTTTCATTTTGGACACCATCTCTGCAGTTATCTGAGCAATTTTTTCTCACTTGATTTTTTTCCAGAGCCTCATTCAATTGATTTGTTGTTACCACTTCAGAAAGGCTAGGGGGGTGGCTTTTGGAATGTCCCACCACACTGCCCTCTGGGTTTGCCTTTAGTGAACTAGATGTCTCGGACTGAAACTAGTTTAAGTGTCTTCTCATTTTCTTTTCTTTTTTTAGTTTAACACCTGGGGTGATACTTTCATATTGCATATAGTAGGTTGCTTTATTGCTAGTATTTACAGCACTTAGGAAACGACTACTTCTAAAAAGTATCTTCCATGTATGGTTTGTATTGGGGTTTTGAGCCTGTTATAAGATCCTACCTCTTCGATATGCTGGAGATGAGAAGTTGCTGCCTGTCTTGCTCAGCCCTTATTTTTTGGCACTATGCTGTAGAATTTTCTGTGACCCTTAGTCAGTCTAAGTCTTGGAATAAAATTAAGAACAGCTATTTAGAATAATCATGTCACTTTTGGCTACAGTGGTACTATTGACAATGACAATGGTATCTAAATACAGCCAAGAAAATGACAAACTGAGGTAACCATTAATTTGCCACCTTTCATTGTATGAACTAGATTTGTGGTTATATAACAAAATCTAAAGCAACCAGAAAATTTTATGCAAAATTAGGCTGGCCTTGAACTTATGGTGATATTCCTGCCTCAGTGTCCCAAACTGCATGGATTACAGGAATGTAGCACCACCCCCAGCAACCCATGTGTTCTTAAGAAGTGAGAAAGCTGATTATGAAACTAATGTAAGACTCCAGGGAACATAGTAGCTTGAAATTATGATGGGGTCTAAAGGAAAACTAAGAATTAAGTTCAATAGATTTTGACTTGCTGCTTCAAATAAGGTAACTAAAACAAGGATTTCTCCCAACCTTTACATTACCTTTGCCATGATGTAAAAGGCACAAAGGAGGAGCTGATCCAAATGCCTGTTTTTCATTAAATCAGGGCAGTGAACTAAAGTGAATTCAAAACATGTCCATATCTTCCTTCGTAACTCATGTGAAACATCCAGTTTTAAACATAAATCACGTAAGCGTACACTTGCCAAATGATAGACCTAAGATATCAATGAGAAAAGATTAAATAATCTCTTAAATTTATGTCTTACCATCAACATGGACTTTCAGATCTGGATTAAAAATACCTAGGTTGTTGATATATTAAATTACTTAAAATTTTTGTTCTATAGCTCTAGTTTACTGCTATAGCAAAAGAATATAGATTAAGTAAATGCTCATTAGGAAACCAATTTAAGCATTTTACAGGTGGGTCACAGTTTTAATTTAGCACATGAAGATGCAAAGGTAAGAAGATTGTAAATTTGAGTTCAGCCTGAACAATTTTGCAAAACCCTGTCCTGAAATAAAAAATAAAAAAAGTCTGGGATGTACCTCAGTGTGAAAGCCCTGGGTTCCACTCTCAGTACTGTAAAAATTAAAAAAAAAAAAAAGTTATCCTATTCTATAAGTACATAAAGTATACAACACTAAAAATTCAAGATTTACTTGTATCATGATCACTATGGGTTTTTTGTTGTTGTTTATGAAGATTACAGTAGATTAACTTCAGTACCCTGAGACTACATACAGTCTTTATATGAGTTGAAACTAATGCAAATGACCTAAAATCCTGCAGGGTTTACTGTTTCCCTGTTTTAAGAATTGGTAAGAGGCAAAGTGTGGTAGCACACACTTGTAATTCCAGCAATCGGGATGCTGAGGCAGAAGGACTGCCATGAGTTTGAGGCCAGCCTGGGCCACCTAGTGAGTTTAAGGCCAGCCTGAATTATACAGTGAGACCCTTCCTCAAAAAACAAATACATAAAAACAACCAAAAGAATTGGGAAGGACTATGAGTATGTAGCTTAGTAGTAAAGCACTTATCTAGCATGTATGAGGCCTTGAATTTGATCCCTAGCACACACACACACAAAAGAATGTAATATTACTCAGCTGTACTATTGGAAGTAAAGCTTTAATCCTCAAGGAGTAGGGAAGAAAAAGAGTAAGATATCTCAAGGAAAAATTTTTGGTTTTGCTTTCTGAAACACAGTCTTACCATGTAGCCGAGGTTGGCCTCAAACTCACTATACAGCCCAGGCTGGCCTTGAATTCAGGGCAATCTTCCTACATCAGCCTCCCAAGTGCCAGGATCACTGGCATGTACGACCACACCTAGCTAAGAAAAGTATTTTTTGACAGGAAAACAAATCTACAAATTTAGAGTAAAAAATAACCTATTCAATAGGCTAATATGATATAATGAGAGACAAGTATGTGACTCTAAGACCACCTGTAATCATTATTAGTATTACTTTGTCCTTTACTGCTTTCTTTTGTGTTAAGTGAATATTTTTTGGTGTAGAGTTTTAGTTTCCTTAATTTTTTCACTATACTTTTGAACCCTGTTCAGTGATTTATCCAGTGTTTCCTATATCATTGTAATTGCTGGAATAAATTTCAGATTTGTACTAGCTTAATTTCAGCTGCATGTAGGGGCTTTAATCCTACAGCCTATGCGCTTCTTGCCTTTCTGTGTTGTTTTTATTATAAACACAGTATCCACAAATGTTACACATTATACAATACATGGCTAAACTTATACTTCATTATCTGTAGTTGTTTTCTTTCTTTTCTTTTTTACGTATTTAGCACAGGGTCTACAGGTTCTCACTACACAGATCAGACTCATAGTGATCCTCCTGTCTTCAGGCTCCCAAGTGCTGGGCTTACAGGTGTGCTCCACCATGCCCAGTCTCAATCAATGTCTCAGCGTACCCTGGGGGTGGGGCCAGCACCAGCACACCAGGGATTAAACTCCGGTCTCCGTGCATGCCTAAGCAGGCGCTTTAATCTGCTGAGCTATCTGGCCAGCACTTATTATTTTGCCACAGCATTGGGAACTGAGTTAAAACCCTTAGCCTTTTTGAATTTTAGAACAGGGTCTTGCTAAATTACTAAATTGCTCAGGCTGGGCTCAAACTTTTGATTCTCCTGTCTCAGTCTCCCACACTAGTGATATTACAATCATGTCCAGCTTCATGATTACACAGGAAAAGATGCTAGAACTTTACCTTCATGAGAGAAGCTAACAGATACAGATGTAGCTAGAAGGATTAAAAAATAATACATAATTTTAGAAAATACATAATTAACTAATTTTTGGTTTTACAGAGTTGATCTAATGCCTTTGAGACCTACATATATTGAAACCTTTTTATTCTAAGAAAAATTCAAAGCAAATTTTATGTATGCTACAGTATGCATCACTGAGTTTAGGAATCATAAGAATATAATTTATTCAAAGGGTTATTTTGTATTATAGATTCAGACATTTCAAACCTCCCATTTTTTTTTCTTTTTTATTTTTCTGCTAGAGATAAAGCCCCAGGCCTTGTTCATGCTAAATATGTGCTCTACAACTGAGCTATCTTAGCTTTTCAATTCCCCTTTAGAAGAAAATATTACTACCTCTTGACCTATATATAGTAGGCTATCACTAAATGAAAAGGAAAAGTTAATTCTGAAATAAAATTCTGAACTAAGAATTCAAAAAGCCTTACTTTTGTCAATCTTAATTGGACTCATTACCCAAGGTAATCATTTATCATTTTTAAAATAAAACATGGGAAGTCATGGGCAAAATGCTCTGTCTGTCTTTACTAAACATTCTTTAGACAGTCAAAAGTGGTGGGTGGGGTAGAGACATAGGAGAGAAGGTTGTGGGAGATGGAGAAAAAGGGTATGTGTTTCCCCCACCCATCCTATGTAGCAATTACAGCAGCCCTATTTTCTTGTTTTACTTATATTCTTGGGAAATATTTCATTCAAAGAGATTTCTTTATAAAACTCTCTGGAGAATCAATTGCTCCCCAATCACAAATATGATGAAAACAAATTAATTACAGTTGAAAGCAATAGAAGGCAAGACTGGGCATGGTGGTGTGCACCTGTAATTCCAGTGCTTGGGAGGCTGAAAATATGAGAATCACTATAAGTCCAATCTACATAGTGAGACCCTGTACTAAATATTAAAAAGAAAGCAAGCAAGCAAGCAATAGAAGACAAAGAATGATTGTTGTAGAAACTGTGTTTGTCTTCTAGTCCATGGTCCCTTCCTTCCTTCCTTCCTTCCTTCCTTCCTTCCTTCCTTCCTTCCTTCCTTCCTTCCACAAAGGTAAAACCTTTGACAGCCAGTTCTAAATTTCTGTTAAAAAGGTTACATTTGTCTCTTGAAAATTCTTGAGGTAGTTACATCATTAAGTGGGAAATAAACAACACTGTTGTCTATAATTTCTGAAGAAGACTGTAAAGGTGCTGCTTATTTCCCACTGTTTTCTCTTACTTTCTAACATTGCCTTATAAATCTACCTATGCCTTTCACTGACATATCCTGAAATGGTTCTTTGCAATGATGTCAAGTTCCTTTTCCATTCGAAGTTGACTATATGGAAACTTTAGGGTGTATATAGTTTTTTGAGACAGGGTCTCACTATATAGTTCAAGCTGGTCTTAAATTCGCATGTAGCCTGGGTTGGCCTTGAACTCATGGTGATCAAGCTGCCTCAGCCTCCCAAGTACTGGCATTACAGGATGGGCCACCACACCTGGCACCAGAGTACTTTTTTGGACCCTGTCTGAGAATAACAGGACAAAGTAAAGTCATTGTGCTAAGTCCGTTAGTCCTTTTAAAATTAATAATTTAGGCATCATTAAGAAATATATCTTAATTTAAAGAGGAACTACTGTATTATAGTATCTGTGTAGCTCTTGCACAGCACCTCAGTAATTTTTTTTTTAATTTTATTTATTTATTTGTGTGTGTGTGTGGCCAGCTCAGCCCACCAGGGGGCAGGGCTGGCTGGCATGTGGTGCTGGGGGATTGAACCACGGTCCCTATGCTTTGCTAAGCTTGTTCTAAGTAGGTGCTTTAGACCACTGAGCCATCTCACCAGCCCCACCTCACTAATTTTGAAAATGATTTTTAGTAGTTTAACTTCATCCATGAAATATAGGAAATACCTGTCCCACAATGAACTCATTCTAGATCAATATAATACAACTGACTTTCAGTACATTCCAGAACATTCCTAACTGCTTCTTTGCAAGTTGGCAGGAAATATAAATTAGATCTAAAAATAGAATTTACTTTACGCTCAGATCCAAACATAACTAAGTTACCAAGGTCATAATGTTCTATTCAGAGGTCACATATGTTCATTAAAAGGCTCTAAGTGTGTTACACGATACTGAAGACAGATAAAGACAGTGTAAGAAAAAAATAGTATAGACTAATACCTATGACTATGGGTATAGAAATCTTCACACACTAGTAAACCAAATTCAAGAATATAATAAGAGCATTATGGGGCTGGGGAGATGGCTCAGTAGAATAAGCGCTTCCCTGGCAAATGCAAGGGTCTGAGTTCAATCCCCGGTTCTGCAAAAAAAAAAAAAAAAAAAAAAAAAAAAAAAAAAAAAAAAAAGAAAAAGAGGATTATACACAATGACCAAATAGGATTTATTTCTCAAAGATAGGAATAAATTGACTTAGGAAAAAATCAATCTGTATAATACAAAAGAATGAAGGATAGATAGGATATCCTGTCTGCTTCTTGTACTATGGATAACCACTAAGAAGATAACAATGTACAATGTATTGATATCGAAACTGTCCTATTAATCAGCTTTAAAACTCTCACTCATATTTATTTCTCAATAAAAAAGAATAGATAAATACATACGTAAGAATGCACATAAAAAAAGAATGAAGGAAAAAATATATACTTCAAGGGACATAGAAGAAACATTTTACAAAATTAAGATACTCTTTTTTTTTTTTTTTTTTGTTCCTCGAATGCCTTCAGGGCACTTTTGGCCAGCTGGAGAGGTGTGAGGTTCGAACTCCAGCAACCTGAGGCTGATAGCTTTGTGGAAGCAGCCACTTAAAGACCTGAGCTAGGGCCAGGCCCCCTAAGATACTCTTTTTAATGACCTAAAACATTCAATATGCTACTAATAAAAAAAAAACACTTCAACATAATAAAGGTCATACACAAAAATATCCACATTATATTCAAAATGATAAACTGAAAGCCCTCATGTTAAGAGGAAGAACAATGGTTGCTTTCACCACTTACACTTAACATATTACTAGAAGTCTTATCCAGAGGCATTAAACAAGAAAAAGAAATAAAAGGCATCCAAATTGGAGGGGAAAAAGTAAGTCTCTTTCCAGATGACAAGATGTTTTGTGTAGAAAATTTAAAAACTCTAGAACATGTAAAACTAGCAGAGCTAATAAATTTGGCCAATATTCAAACATTTGTGTTGGGATGGTGGTGGATACTCAAGAGTGAGTAATCCTCAGTACACAGGAGGCTAAGGTAGAAAACTACAAGTTTGAGGCCCAGGTGGGCAATTTAGCAGGATACTGTTTCAAAAATAAAAAGGAGGGTCTGGGGAGATGGCTCAGTAGAATAAGCGCTTCCCTGGCAAGCGCAAGGGCCTGAGTTCAATCCCTGGTTCCACACACACACAAAAGAGATAAAAATAAAATAAAATGGGCTGGTGATTTAGCTCAGTGATAGAACATTTGCCTAACATGCAGGAGGTCCTGGGCACAAGCGTAACACTCATCCTACCACCGAAAACTTAACTTTGTCAAAAATATGTGTCGAAGGACATCATGAGGAAAGGAAAAACGCAATTCAAAGAATAGGGAAAACAATATGAAAATCCTGTATCTGCATTACTTGCTAGAATAAAAAATTCCCACAACTGAACTAAAAAAAAACCCAATCAAAAAATGGGCAAAACATTTGAATCGACATTTCTGCAAAGACATACCAATGGTCAACAGATCATGAAAAGATGCTCAACATCAGTCACTGTTTAGGAAATAATAATCCAAACTTCAGGCAAAATAATTGAACCTGGGGACTTGAACAGCATCAATACTCATAGTAGCATTATTCAGAATAGTCAAAAGGTGAGAACAACCCAAATATCGAGCAACAAATGAGTAGAAAACATAAGAAATATACACATATTGAAGTATTATTCATCTTTAAGGAAAAAAATTCTAAAAATGCTACCACATTAACCTAGAAAGCACTATGTTTTGAAATAAACCAGTCATAAAATATTGTACAATTTCACTTATATATGTTACCTCCCCTTTTTGTAGTGTTGGAGATCAAACTCGAATTTCTCGGTTTGTCTATTCTAGGCAAATGTTCTATACTTAGCCACATCCCCAATTCCCATATGAGGGACGCAATCTGGTCAAAGTGATAGACAAAAAGAGCAGTGGTTTCCAGGGCTATTCTTCCCCTAAGTACAGAATTTCAGAGTAGGAAGACTAAAAAGTTCTTCAGATGACCGGTGATAACGGTTGTATAAAAATGTAGATATATTTAGCTCTGAATTATATACTTAAAAAATGGTTAAAATGAGCCAGGCATAGTGATACATGTCTGTAATCCCAATTACTCACAAGGTTAAAGGTAAGAGAATCAAAAGTTCAAGTCTGGCCTGGACAACTTAGATCCTGTCTCAAAATTTAAAAATAAAAAAGGGATGGGGATATAATTCAGTGGCAGAATATAATCCTAGTATTTGTGAGGCCCTGAGTTCAATCTCCAGAACTAGAAAACAAAAAAAGTTAAAATGATATTTTATGTTGTGCCTTTTATGCACATACACAGAATAAAATAAAATAAAATAAAATAAAAATTAAGAGAGGGGACAAAAAGGCCAGAACTGCTCTCTGTTCATCTTTCTAGTGTCAATGAAATGAACTCTTCACAGATGTTAAAGGAATACATACCTTTCTGTAAAACAGTGCTAAGGACCCAGTCCTCTTTGGCTTTACTCCAGTCAGATGGATCTCTTGTGCTCTAGTCAAATAGGTTTGCTTTGGAGAAGCACCAATTAATGACTGTGCAGTGAGTGATACAGGACTCTCAATTGTGGACTCCTGGGTTGTACTCATGGAAATAGGAATCAGTGTGATCTCCCCAGCATCATTTACAACACCTAAATGTACAAGAGTTCCTAGTTATAGAAAGAAGTTGCATGTGTTCCACAGAAGCTGTCAACTATGTATATTTTGTCAACTACATAGATACGTCAGTGTAGCACAGTAATATGTTAGGAAAGGAGAGGAAGGCTACCAAATAGTAACTTTAAGTTAGGGTTGAACTCTTGTTTTCTATTTTTACCCTGAAATAAGAATATTCTGTTTTGTTTTGATAGCTTTCTAATAAATTTAATTTAAAAATTTTATTATTTTGTACGAGCCTGTGATGTTTGTACTTTTTTAAAAAGCAGTTTGAAAAAAAAGCATTTTGTTCTGTTTTGAGCATTTAAAGATATTTTTAATTAAAGCACAAAATTTTTGTTCAGTACTCCTATTTGTAAAGTTCAGATAATTAAACAAGTCCGAACAAATGGCAATAAATTTATAAAATGTGAAAATTCAAAAATCAGAGGTCTTTTAAATACATCTCCAAATATAGCTTCTCTAACAGTGATGGGACACCCATTTCTGACAAAACAGAAAAGGGGGATATAAATGAAGGACCATTTTGTAGCGAAAAAAAAATATATATGTATATACAAAAGTTAGGATAAATATACAGCTACTTTCTTTTAGTTCAGTGAGAAGAAAGATTTGTACTAATATTGTTTAGACAAGATACCATGTCTGCATCTTGTACTCTGAATTACTACGAAGACAACAATATACAATGTATTAATTACTGTAACTATCCTACTAACCTGTTTTTGAAACTGTCTCATTGCTATTTCTTTCTCATTAAAATTAATAAAAAATTAAAAAAAAATCAGTATAGGCTCATAACAAAAGAAATTTTAAAGGAAGTAAAATTATTCAGTATAATACTGTAATGCAAGATATATTTCATTAGATGTTGTTAAAATCCATAAAATGTATGATGCTTAAGAATGATATGGCTATGGACAATGATGTGTCAATATATTTTATTAACTATAATGAATGTATCGCTCTGCTGTAGGATGACATGGGAATAGTTAACATGAAATGTGTGGGAGATCTCTACCTTCCTTTCAATTTTGCTACGAACCTAAAAATGCTCAAAAAGAGGGAAGGGGCATTTCAGATTTAAAAAAAAATGAGTTAGAAATACCATATGACCTATTTCGGTTAGACATTTCTTAAAGTTTCATCTAACTCAGAAAAAATATGAATTAAGGCTTTAACGTGTTACCATGCAATGGAATTGTAACTTTATGTCCTGATGTCCCTGCTACTGTGGCTGTGGCCATTGTTAGAAGAGTCTGCCCAGGTGAAATTGACATATTTTCAGCAGTGATGCTTGAAGAGGGAGCAATTTTCAATTTTGTCCCTTCTGTCATATTCTTGTCTGTAACCATTTCCTTTGGGGGATCCTCTCCAAAAAGTCGTCTCTTAGCACTCCCAGCAGTAGGAGAACTGTAGCGTTCATGGACAGAAATTGGAGACAATGGTTGCATATCTAATAGACAAAAATAAATTTAAAAGTTTGAAATGTATTATAAAATAATAAATCAGGTTCACTCATTCATTTGCTAGGCAATAAAGATCTAGCAGTGAATAACATGGTCTTTGCCCTCATGGAACATCAGGCCTAATGGGAGAGAGGTATAAAATAAGTCATTAAATATGAAATAAGTCAATAAAACGAGAAAATTATGATAGCTCATTTTCCTCATATTTTGAACCTTTGTATTAAAGGAGAAATATTAAGAATAAGTAGAAGCTGAGTGGCAGAATGATGAGACCACTAAATTTAAGAAGCAATCCAACTGGCTTCTGTCTCACAATCCTATCTAGTAAACAGCACCTGAGAAAAAGAGAAGCAAAAGCAAAAAATCAGTATTTTAGATCATAGTTTTGTCCCCTTCTATCCTCCAAGCAGTTTAAGCAGTAGCCACCACTTTCTGATTCAGTAGATACAGATATATGTTTAACAGGTCCATCAGAAGATATAAGTAGGGGCTGGGGAGATGGCTCAATGGAATAAGCACTTCTCTGGCAAGTGGAAGGGCCTGAGTTCAATCCCTGGTTACGCAAAAAAAAAAAAAAAAAAAAAGAAAGAAAGATATAAGTAAAGATGATAGGATGCTACTGACCTTCTCTTAATCTTAAGCCTATCAGTAGTACATAATCAAAAACAATGTAGGGGCTATGTACTATACCTCTTGTTCAAGGTTATCTTACTACAGGGGTGCTCTCTGTTACCTACAACTCAAGAGGAACAGCCATGTTCTTTAGGCTATTTCCATCATATATCTTTTCTTTCCTCAATTACTTCTTCACAGACAAAAACATATGCTTTTAAAGTGAAGGAATCTCTGTATTTATTTTTATAATCACTCATTAGGCAATCTATTTGCAAAATGTATTTAAAATGTATAAACATTACCTGTGGCAATGATCTGAAATGTCTGTATTATTGAGGTGACTGGGGGAATAGTAATGGTTTAATAAGTCTTTTTTATTATTTTAAATGCTATGAAAGCAGCAGCTCTGACTTCTTCAGTGAAAAAGCAGAAATCTCCTCCCCTGCCCTACCACCCTTTTTTTGAGATAGTCTTGCTACACAGCTTAGGCTGGCCTTGAACTCCATGTAGTACAAGCTGGCCTCAAACTCATGGTAATCCTCCTGCCTCAGCCACCCTGAAGCAGTAGGATTACAGGCTTGTACCACATTACCCAGCTGGAAATTTCTATTATAGCTCCCAAAAATCCCTTTACAAGAGTCTACTTGGGAAATTTTTTTTTTTTTTTTGCAGAACCGGGGATTGAACTCAGGCCCTTGCACTTGCCAGGGAAGTGTTTATTTCACTGAGCCATCTCCCCGGCCCCAAGAGTCTACTTAGATAGCTCATATCTAAAGACTCCAAGGCAGTCCTTGAATGTGATTAGAAAGGCATAAAGGTGGGCTGGTGAGATGGCTCAGTGGTCTAAAGCACCTACTTAGAACAAGCTTAGCTAAAGACTGCGGTTCAATCCCCCAGCACCACATGCCAGCCAGCCCTGCCCCCTGGTGGGCTGAGCTGGCCACACACACACACACACAAATAAATAAAATTAAAAAAAAAAAGAAAGGCATAAAGGTGATCAAAGGGAGATTAGAGTTACAGTCATGTAAATTCTTTGAAATAGCTTTTTCTTAGCACAATATTGGAAGAGCAATGATAGATTCTGTAACATTTAATGAACATCTAAATGAAAAACTGATCTGAACTTAGAAACATGATAATTTTCCATGTTAGAGAAAAGATGCTTGGAGACTGAATGTAATGGCACATGCCTATAATCCCAGCGTTTAGGAAGCTGAAAACAGGAGTCTGATCCATATAGCAAGACCTTGTGCTAAGTACAAAAAAAAAAAAAAAAGCCTGCGGTGAGAAAATATGCTTAGTTGTATGGTTAAACTATTCTTGGTAAAAATCTTTTTTCTGGGGGACAGGGTACTGGACAATAAACCCAGTGGCTTCACTGAGCTACATCCCAACAGAGTCTTGTTAAGTCACTGAAGTTACCAAGGCTTGGCTTAAAATTGAGTTCCTCCTGTGTCAACCTTTCACAGTGCTAGGACTACAGGTATGTGTCACCATGCCTGGTTCCCAACCCTTTCCATTATTAATGAAGTGTGACTACAAATTACACTGTGTCTTTACCTATCATAATAAGACACATTACTACTAATTCCCCTCAAAGAACTCCCCATTGATTCAAACATAATTATCTTATTATTCTTGCCACTTCCTCAAGTAGTTCTGTCTGTGAGTCTCTAGCTGTGCAGTTGTGGCTACCCTGATGCTCTGAACTGACCCAAAATGTTTGCTCTTCATAATTATTTTGACTTTGGGGATGAGCCAGAAGTCACACGGTGCCAGATCCAATGAATAAGGTGGATGAGAACACAGTGTAATGTTTTCTTGAGCTGCCTTTTCATTGAGTGACACTTACCATTAGCTGGCAGCAACATTCAACTGCATTTTAAAATCATACCTTACAAAGATACTCACAAAAGAGGACTTCCAGAACTGCTTCAGAAAGTGGCAACAACAATGGGATAAATGTGTCTGACACAAGAAGTAGTTTGAGGGAGGTTAATGTCAATGTGTAATACATTAAAGTTGAATAACATGCACTACATTATTTGATCACCCATTGTTATTTTGAAATAAGATCTTACTACACTGTCTAGGCTGGCTGGATTGAAATCTGAAAGTATCCTGGCTCAGTCTTTTAAGAGTTTTATTGTTTTTCAGTGCTGGGGATCAAATCCAGGACCTCACAAACACTACAGAGGTATCTACCACAGAGCTACACCCCCAGCGCAGTCTAGTAAGTCTGTTTTGTTTTAAATTTTTTGAAACAGGGTCACCTTACGTTGTCCAAGTTAGCCTTGTGATCTTTCTGCCTTAGCCTCCCAAGTGTTAGAATTATAGGTATATACCAACATGTTTGGCCATCCTGTACAATTTTTTTTTTTAAAATGATACTCAATGTGTCTAATGTGTTGAATTATGTTGTACTAAAATACTTTTACTTCTCTAAATATTAATAACTTACAGTAGAAGAGTTTTTAACATTTTCTTAAAATTTACAAAGGTCACAAAACAATGACCATTATTTCCATTGATTAATATCACTTTGCATTCATAGCCCACAAGTCATTTCTGTGATCAAAAGTGGATATAAGGGCTGGTTAGATAGCTTAGTGGACTAAAGTGCCTGCTTAAGCAGAGTGCAGCAGCTGGGTTCCTGCCTGCGGGGCGTGCTGAGATGGTGATTAAGACTGGGCATGGTGGCACACACTGGTACAGAGCTTGGGAGGCTGAAAATAGGAGGATCACTACGAGTCTAATCTACATAGTGAGACCCTGTAGACCATGTCCTAAATACATTGGAAAAAAAAAGTGGATATAGAGGTACCTTAACATATAACCTGAATACTTATCTTTTTTAGAGCTGTTACATGGTCAGATTATCTTTTTTTTTTTTTTTGGTGGAGCTGGGGATTGAACTCAGGCCCTTTGGCTTGTCAGACAAGCGCTTATTCTACTGAGCCATCTCCCCAGCCCCAGATTATCTTAACTCATTAAAAAAAATTATGTAATCCAAAATATGGGGCCAGGGAGATAGCTCAGAAGAATAAGTGCACAGGGTCCTGAGTTCAATCCCCGCTACCCCTCCACACAAAAAATTATATATATATACTTGTCAGTTTGCTAACTTACAATAGAAAATAAGGAAGAATGCATTAAAATATCGGCAAGGCTTAAAATGAACAATTTCAAGGAAGTATAGAAAACTCAGTAGGTGAACTTTTTTTGCAGGAGGTTAAGAAAGAGTCTTGTGATGTTCAGGTTAGCTTTGAATTCAGTATGTATCCCTTGCTGTCTTTGACTTGCAGTGGTTCTCCTGCCTTAGCCTCCCATGTGCTGGCATGTGCCAACATGCTGGCTTTTGACAGGTGAATTTAAACATGTAAAGAAAATATAAGGAGCTGGTGTGGTAGTGCACACCTGTAATCCTAGCACCTGGGAAGCTAAGGCAGTAGAAATCTTCAATTCAAGGCCAGCCTGGGCTACAAAGTGTGTCAAGGCCATCCTTAACTATATAGCAAGACCCTGTCTCAAAAAGACAATATAAATTCTTTATTTCACATTTTGTTGTTTGAGACTGTCTCCTAAGTGCTGAGGTTACAGGCATGTACCATCATGCCCAGCAACGAGTTGTTTTGTTTAAATTCCTTCCTTCCTTCCTTCCTTCCTTTCTCTCTCTCTCTCTCTCTCTCTCTCTCTCTCTCTCTCTCTCTCTCTCTCTCATCATCCATCCATCCAAAGAATATAAATTCTGTCAAAATTGGAAAAATAGGGGCTGGTGAGATGGCTCAGTGGTCTAAAGCACCTACTTAGAACAAGCTAAGCTAAGCAAAAGCACAGGGACCGCGGTTCAATCCCCCAGTACCACATGCCAGCCCGCCCCGCCCCCGGTGGGCTGAGCTGGCCACACACACACACACACACACACACACAAATAAATAAATAAACAAAATTTTAAAAAAAAATTGGAAAAATAGGAATTATTTAAATAATTTCCTGTTGGGGATCACAAACTGTAAATTGACATAGTACATCCTCAGTTCTCCTTGTCCTGCCTGCCTCATGCACTGGTTTTAGAATGTAGAAATCACCTTCCTCTTGGTCAGTGAGATTAGCACCCAGGTGTGGGGACAGATCTTGACTTGTTCCCTTTACATTAAACTTGCCCACATTCTATCGCTGTCTCTGTGCTGTTCCAGGAGAAACACCTTAACTCCTCCCCTACACAGGCTAATAAAATGCTAGCTAGCTGGAGATGGGGGGACTTTTGTTCCTAAAGAACAACTGGTGCTCCCAGGTCCCTGCTATACATCCCTCTACTTTGTCTCTTATTCTTTTTCCCTTTCCTGCTGTATGCTGTAATGCAGGCAGGAGAGTAGAACACCCTGCCGTGGTCTCCAATATAACCTATGGGAAACAAAAGCCTGTTGGTTTATACAGATGAACCCATACATTAAAATAGAAAAAAACAAGAAAAAGTCTTCAAAATTGTTTTTACTATTTTATTTCCTTTTCTTTCTTCACAAAATAACTTGCATAAAGCGCTCAATTACTATTTTTTAAAATACTCAGTTATTAACATTCACAAGTATATATAGTGCTATGAGAGAGATCGCTAATAACTTTCCATCAGCATTTAGGAAAGGCTGTATATGCTTATTAAAAGTTCAAAATACAATTTCTATAATTACTGTGATTATAAGTTTTAAAAATAGAATACTGAAGATTGGACTGGAAACTGTTTAACATAAGGAGTATATAACATACCACAAAAGGTGCTGGTATAAATATTACATCCCTTCTCATATCCTAATGAAGAAATTGTATCTCTTAGTAATATACTATTGAGACTTGAAAATTTCCCTGATGAAATAATTTTTATTATTTTAACAATGTTGAGCCTACCCCTCCGAAGACTCCCACTGTCAGTCCGAACTTCCTTGACTCTTGGATGGATTATAGGAGACATTGGCATCATGGGCAGATGTCCCTGTACATTTCCTCCATTTCCTGTTTCAAAGTTATTTGGAAATATAACCTATGGAAAACAAAAGCCCATTGGTTTCATACAGATGAACTCATACATTAAAATAGAAAACACAAGAAAATGTCTTCATAACTGTTTTTACTATTTTATTTCCTTTTCTTCACAAAGTAACTTACATAAAGTACTCCATTATTTTTTTAAAAATACTCAATTATTAACATTCACAAGTATATAAAAAGATTTCATTTCACTCAATCTTTTAATTTATCTATATAAGCTACTGTCCATGAGAAGTAAACCTGTGAAACAGGCACTCTTCATTCTCTAGTTAGGGATGAGAAAATTGAGGCTCAGAATGTGAGAGTTGTTTATCAGTACAGTGCTGTTAAGTAAGAACCTCCAATCCTTTTCCTTCAAGTTCATAGCTTTTTCCCATTTTTCAATGGATTTTATAATGGCTATATACTGATGAATACTGAAGATTGACCAGTAACAGTCAACTGCAGAGACCATGCATGGAAGAGAAATTTAAGAAACTCTCCTTTTTCATTCTTCCTGATCTTTAAATATTTCTTTCATTAGTTTGGGATTAGGGAAAAATTCAAGATTAGTTAAGTATGAGGAGACATAGAAAAGCAATGAAGGGCCACCCAGTTAGCTCAGCAGACTAAAGAGCCTGCTTAAGCACACTCAGGGACGGGTTCATCCCAAGTGCTGTGCTGGCCCAGCCCCTGGGGTGAACTGAGATGGCTGACTGAGACAGAGTGTTGTGGCGAGCGCCTATAATCCCAGCACTTGGGAGGCTGAAAACAGGAGGATGACTATGAGTCTGATCTGTGCAGTGAGACCCTGTATTAAACACATAAAAAAAAAGGAGGAAGAGGAAGAGGAAGAGGAAGAGGAAGAGGAAGAGGAAGAGGAAGAAGAAGAAGAAGAAGAAGAAGAAGAAGAAGAAGAAAGAAAGAAAGAAAGAAAGAAAGAAAGAAAGAAAGAAAGAAAGAGAGATAGAAAGAAAGAAAAGCAATGGGAGGCCAGGGATATAGCTCAGTAGAGAGTGCCTGTCTGGCAATCAGGAGATCCCGAGTTCAATTTCTGGCACTGGAAAAAAAAAAAAAAAAAAAAAAGGAATGGAAGATCAACAGGAGTTACAAATGAATAACACAGATGGGGCCAGGGAGATAGCTCGGTAGTCTAAGTGCCAGCTTGGCAAGTGCAAGGACCCGGGTTTGATCCCTGGTACCACATGCCAACCTGGCCACTGAAACCAGGTATGGTGGCGCATGCCTATAAGCCCATTGCTGAGAAGGCTGAGACAGAAGGATCACTATGAGTCTGAGCTATATAGTGAGACTCTTTATCAAATAAATGAATAAATAAATAAATGATTTTTAAAAAAAGCCAGATGTAGAAAGAACCACCCCTCAATTTCTTGCATAAAACTGAGCTGTTGAGTGTGTGATTTGTGTAAAACTTTTGGCACAAACTTTTGATTTTTAAATTCTAAATACCACTAATGAAATGTTCAATTTTTTATGTTGACATTTGAAACTTAAAAATTTAAGAGATTAATGATTTTTAGATATCAAAAGCACAACAACAATGGGCAAAGAAAACTCTAGAAAAATTAAGACTTCGTTCAAATTTGTAATTTTTGCATTCTTTTTTTCATGGGGTACTGGGAATCAGTGATATGTACATCAAAATCATGGTGAAAATATGACATCTACTAGGAAGGCTAGAAAGATGGATAATAACAAGCAACTGGCCTCTTTACCAACCAGTGGTGAGAAAAATGAATGGTACAGCTACTTTTTTGATTTTTCCTTTTGATACTGGGGATTGAACTCATGGCCTTCCAATTGAGCTGCATCCTCAGTACCCACCACACACTCTCCCATGCATGTCTATTTTTCTTTCTTCCTTTTTTTTTTTTTTGGTGGTATGTGGGATTAAACCTGGGGCCTTTGTACTGAGATGCACTCTCAATTCTTTTCATATATTTTATTTTTTTTCCATAATTTTATTGAGAAACAAATAAAAAATAGCAGAAGGATTTTTTTTTTTTGGGGGGGGGGCTGGCTCAGAATGCCTTCAGGGCATGTTTGGCTGGTTGGAGTTGTGGGGATCAAATCACAGCAACCTGAGGCTGACTGCTTTGTGGAAGCAGCCACTTAACTGAGCTAAGGGGCAGGCCCCTCTTTTCACATTTTTTTAATAAAGATTTTTCCATAAGATAGACAATAACTTTGTTCATTTCTTTTTTTTAAAAAATGTATTTAGTAGAGGATTGATAGGGTCTCACTAAACAGATAGGACTCATAGTGATCCTCCCATTTTCAGCTTCCCAAGTGCTGGGATTACAGGCGCTTGCCACCATGCCTAGTCTCAATCAAACATCTCTGCACGTCCCGGGGGTGAGGCTGGCACGGCACAACTGGGATCAAAGCAGGTCCGTGCATTAGTCCACTGAGCTATGTGACCGGCCCCTCTTTTTTTTTTTTTTGCACTTTGAGATAGGTCTTTCTAAATTAACCAGGCTTGGCTCAAACTTGCAATCCTCTTGCCTCAGCATCCCAGAGTACTGTGAGCCAGTAGGCCCAATTCCACTTTTGAAAACAGTTACCATCTGACCTATGACCCAGCAACAATACTTGTAGAATTGTGTACTCACTGTGTATTGTAAACATATACTAATAAAAATACTTTAATTACTTAAGACTAAAAAAAGAAAATATGTTCACAAAAAATTTTATGCCTGTGTATTTACAACATCATTTATAACAGCCAAAAGATAGACACAACCCAGTATCTACTTACTCATAAATTAATGAAATGTGGCATCGCTATGCAATAAGTATTTAGCAACAAAAGGAAATGATATGTGCTGCAAAACGAATGAACTTTAAAAATACTATGCTAAATGTCATCAAGGACTACATATCATATGATTGTATTTTTATGACAGCTCCAGAAAAGGTAAATCTATAGTCAGAAAGATTAGCAGTTGCTTAGGGTTAGAGGAATACGGAAGTAATAGCTAAAGCATGTTAGTTTTCCACTGAAGTAATAAATACATGCTTAAACTGACTGTGGTGATCCTTGTACTTATCTACATACTAGAAGCCACTGAACTGTATACTTTTTTAAAAATATATTTTGTACAGGGTCTCACTATGCATCTTTGACTCGCAATAATTCTATTTTCAGCCTCCCCAGCACCAGGATTACAGGCATATGCCACCACGCCTGGTCTTGGTGGCTAGTTCCCGCAGGCCGGGGGGCAGGGCTGGCACAGTATGTGGTGCCAGGGACCAAACCCCAGTCCCAGCACTTCCCTGAGCAGGTGCTTAGTCTGCTGAGCTATCTTGCTGGACCTGAACTGTACACTTTAAGTTGGTGAATTTTATGGTACATGAATAATATCAAAATAAAGCTGTTGCACCTGCTTAGGAGGATCACAACGAGTCTGAGCTGCACAGTGAGACCCTCTACCAAATACATACAAAAATAAAAAAATAAAAGAAATAAAGCTGTTTTTAAATGATTAGGTTATGAGCCTGGAGCTTACTCACTTCTTCACAAGTAGGGACTTTGTTTGCAGAAGCAGAGAGAGCTTCCCACAGAGCAGAATTGTGACTCCATGCTAAACTCTCCAAAATCTGTTCTTCAATGCTGTTCAGGTGTTTTACCATGTCCCTGGATAGTCCCTCCTCTGAGCGAATCACCACCTCAATAACCTGGAATAGAGAAAGAGAATGTGGTCTCAATGAGTTTTAGTCTGAATTTTTAAGCATAACTCACTGAGCTACAATCTTGTGGTGTGCTAGTATCTTTTAATTTATAAAGCGATTTTAAAGCTTTTAAAACATTTTCACATATTTTTTTCCTGTCTTATTTTATACATGAAAAATTGAGGCAATGATAAGTAGAAAATATTTAACACCCAAGACTCAGGTCTGGTTTGTAGTCCAGTTCTTATCACCCTAGCCCCGACTATCATTTCCAATTCCTCTAAAGAACAAAATGAACAAACTACTTTAACTGTGTGCTGTTTCTCAGTGTAAACACCAAACGATAAATGACTGCTGCCGAACATCTGGAGGCCCAGGAACTGGAAGCCATGGTAGCTTCTGAGATCACTTCCATAGTGAAAACTTGGGTTTGAGTCAGCGAGTTTGTATAGGCAAGACTGAGGACACAGATTTCTATCATCAAGCTAGGTCCCGTTGGTCAAGGACACAAAAGTCAAGAATCTGGAGATCTAGCTTTTCCTTACCCATTAAGGAATGTGAGATGACTGACTCTTTCTGATGGCATCCCTCAAACATGAAATTTTGAGTATTATGTTGATGCAAAGCAGATTGATCCGGTTTAACTCATCTGTGTCTCTGGGGACTACAATGTCTCAGTCTAGGTATTAAGTTCTCTAAAGAAGTAGGTAGCCACCATCACACAAGGGGTATGTTGGAGCAACAAGATTATAAATTCTACACTGTTCTATTTAAGATGACAGGTCGGTATAGATTTGGGCTGGAGTACCTCATCCTTGTCTCCAAGAGGCACTAGCACTGTATTAACCACTATGGTCAAGAAACCGTTGTGCTGTAATCCCAGCGCTTGGGAGGCTAAAAACAGGAGTATCACTACTAGTCCAATCTATGTAGTTAGACCCTAAAGATCCTGCAGACCCTGTACTAAAAATACATTGAAAAAAAAAAGAAAGAAAGGAAAAGCTGTTACAGATAGCCAGTACTTGTGTTATACCACACTGTCACCCTGGACAATATCACTGTGAGTGAAGAATGTTATGAATAAAAATAGTAGTTCAGTAGTTATGGCCTTTTCAATAAGAGAAAGGTTAATAAAAACAGACCTAGCAGAAAAAAAGATAAGGCAAGTTAATAGTCACTCAGAATGAATTTCCCCAAGTTTGGAGAAGTGCTGAGTCCTGTGTGGCCAGTGGGGTCCTTCAAGGGAGTGGTGGGAGATTAAGAAAAGACAAGACACATAACAAAAGGAAAGCTGGGACCAGGTGGGATGCAACTTCTCTGACTGAGAAGCAGCAACAACTCAGCATGGTCTGTGTTTTTATTTATACATAGTAAAAAGGGGGGAAGAGTGCAATGGGGTTGATTGTGCAGTCTCATAATTTTGCTGACAACATGGAAAGTGAGACAACTGCAGAGCTATCTGTGCTGTAGCTGACCAAGAGGAACACCAAGGCCAACACCTGTTGATATACAACTGAGTTAGAGATCAACCTGTTTATATGATCTGCCTTTGCAATTCTGTGTTCCTGGGAATAGCTTCGCTATCGTCCCAAGGAGTTTGCCGACCTCCAGCTTAGCTGCTCACCACAGGAAAGAAGCAGATCGTTCTTACACTTTCATTAGCTAGACCATCAGCCCAGTCAGTTTTGTTCCATTTTTTAATTTTTTGCCCCATTTCTTTTTTGCAGGACTGAGATCAAACCCAGGACCTTGAGCATGCTAGGTAACTGTTCCACCACTGAACTACATCTCCAGGTCACCACAATCAGTCTTAGACCTCTTCTCTTTGGAGAAAGAATTTTTGTTTTTTGTTCTGCATCAGTTCAGTAGGATTTTTTTTTTTTTGTATTTTAGGGAAGGGTCTACAGGGTGTTCAGGGTCTCACTACTAGATCAGACTTGTAGTGATTCTCCTATTTACAGCCTCCCAAGTGTTGGGATTACAGGTGCGGGCCAACAAGCCCAGTCTCAATTGCTGGCTCAGTGAGTCCTGGGGACAGGGCCGGCATGGCAGGCCCAGGGGATCAAACCCCCAGCCCCTGCTTGCAGGTACTTTAATGGGACTTTAAAAAAAAATGGGAAATTTGAAGTTAAATCAGTCCTAGGTCACGTATGCAAGTCAGTCATGGAAGAAGAGCTGAAGTTGTCTCTGTTTACCAATACCATCATCCTTTTCATTTTGCTCTTGATTCCAGCTAAAAGCAGATATATCATTAGAACACCTGAAGATATGCTTTTTAGCCATCATGACTGTGCTCCTTCAGTCTCCTTTTTTTTTTTTTTTTGCGGTACTGGGGATTGAACTCAGGACCTTGTGCTTACCAGGCAAGTGATTATTCTATTGAGCTATTTTCTCAGCCCCCTATGCTCCTTCAGCACTAAGATAAATACAATGTTTATGTGAAACACATAGTAACAGAACTTGGTTATCATCTCACCTTATAAAAATAAAATGGCTGCAAATCAAGAATTTCAATAATCCAAGGAAAAGTACGTGGTGAGCTATAGGCAAAAAGCACAATTTCCAAACAACAGGCCATCAAAGAGCGATGAAATATATCTTGCTCTAAAAGAACCTTTGGGAAGCAAAGACTATAATTTAATATTTCTCAGCAATTTTAAATGTCATTCTATAACGAAACTCTAACAAGATTAAAAAAAATCTGTACAAACTATATTATCAGAGAGAGATTATCAGAATTCTCAGGCTAGGAGTTTAGCTCAGCGTTTGTCTAAAATATACAAAGATTCAGGTTAATCCTCAGCACCATTGTGGGGAGACAGATCTCAAACTGGTAGATTTTTTGTATCTAATCTTGTTCAGTGGTAGATCTTACATTTAAATGAAGTGTATATAACAATCTGCTTTGAAATCTGAAGAATAGTAAGTCATTAATTCCATCAAGAGAAAAGTATTAAGATTGGTTCTTTTTCTTCTGAGGGACAGTTAACTGTTTTGTTAACACTAGTGTTTATTAGTCAGAATGAAATGGAAGTTAATGTAACAGCTAAGACAAATTAAAAGAAATAAACATTTTACTGAGATGATAAAGATCTCTTTCACCATTGAATTTAATATTTGATATGTTTTTAGTTTTTAAGGTGATGATATCATATCACCTATCATCCCAAATGGAAGAGAAACTCAGGGGGAAATGGTGGATCAGGCATATAGTATTAGCACTTGGGAGGCTGAAGCAGGAGGACTGTAAGTTTGGGCCCAGAACAGAGGGAGTTCAAGATCATCTTGGATAAAACTAGGAGCATTTGTGAATACAAACTACTAAAAGCAGATAGAAAGATGATACATTACTCAGCAAACAGTAGGATAATCAAATATAAGAGCCTACAGAGACACATTTAAATTTACTCCATGAACTTTGGAGAAGACATAGCAACTGGGGGCAAAGGGAGAATGGAAATTAGGCACAAGGCAGAGGTTATAAGATTCATGACATGAAAGTCTATAGACTAGGTAGAGCCTGTTAGATCCCACCCAGTCCCCTCTAAAGGGTCAAATGATAGGCCTACAGTCTATTACCACAAAATTCTGAACTATTCTCTAGAGAAACTATACCACAGACAGAGTCAAACAAGCACAGAAAGACAGGGTTTTGGTGACAGTCTGAAGACTGAACTATAAGATCAAATTTCCCTTTCTTGTTCTGTGGAATCAAGAGCCAGGAAAGATATGAGATTTATCTAATCTACAATATTCCAGAAAGGACTATAAGACACCAAAGGTAAGAGTCCTCAATTTTTTTTTTTTTTTGATCATATGAAGCCACTGAACTTTTATCTCACTCTTGAATCATTTGTGCTTTATTAAAACAGAAATGGGCAGCCAAGAATAATCCAACATTAGAGAAAAACTTTTAACTGAAATACACAGGTCAAAGAGGAGATGTAGTAGGTAACAGAAAAAGAAATTTAAAAAAATATATGTTTATGAGTCTAGCACTCAGAAAGCTAACACAGGATTTTGAGCTCAAGGCCAGTTGAGCTACACAGCCAGTTCCAGGACAACCTGGTCCATAAGGCAAGACACTATCTCAAAATCAAAGCACATTCATTAGGTCTAGATAATAAAAATCTAAATACCCTTAAGATAAAAAAGACAAAGGGATTAGAAAATAAGTGAAAAAAAAGGTCAATAACCTAAGTAATGAAAGCTTTGGATAAATCAGTGAGTATATGTTATTGAAATAATGCAATAAAATAACCAATGGAGCTACAGGTACAGCTCAGTGGTATAGTGCCTGCCTAGTAGGCACACAGCCTTGTGTTCAATCTCCAGCACCACAAACAAAACAATCCAGCAAGAATTGCAAGACATAAATTTCTATAGCTAAAGGGCAACTCTATAGGAATGCCCACTGCATGAATAAAAGAAAAAAACCTATGAAAGCACATTATAAATTGCATACCATTAGTGATAAAAGATACCAAAAGAAAAAAAAAAAGATACTAAAAGATTCCAGAAAGGGTGGGGATGGGGGAGAACATATCAAATAACAGTTAGCTAGGAATACTACTTCACTGGATTTCTTATTAGCAACATCACAAACTAGAAGATAATGAAGCAACAATGCCTTTATAATTAAAAAGGAAAGTGATTATCAATTGTGCCTTTTCTTTTCTTTGGTAGTACTAGAGAATAAACCCAGGACCCTTACATTTAAAGCCTTTTAAACATTTTGCTGAATTATTAAGCTGCCTGGGCTGGCATCAAACTTCTAAGCCTCCTGTCTCTATCTTTTGACATTCTTTTTTTTTTGCGGAACCAGGGATTGAACTCAGGCCCTTGCACTTGCCAGGCAGGCGCTTATTCTACTGAACTATCTCCCTGGCCTCCAGTCTTTGTCTTTAAGTAAGAGCGCAGGAATTATAGGCATGCACCACCATGCCTGGCTTAAATCCAGAATTCTACAAAGAGGCAACTAAGTAAGGGACTTAAGGTAAAGTTTTTACTGTACCTGAACTGGTGACATATACACCAGCAGATTATGAGTTATGTATGTAAAACACCTAGAGCAACCACAAAAAGAAAGAATAATAAACCAATATAAATAAAAATGAAGAAAGATATAGAGGAGAGCAAGGGGAAAGACAGTTACCAAGTTGGGGGTAGAAAACAAAACGAAACATAAAATGGCAGACTTAAGCCTTAACATAACAATAATTAAACATAGGTGGTTTAAATTTTTATTCATTCATTCTATTAGTAAATTTTTATAATACATAATGTATGGTATATTTATCTTGGGAATTGGTACAGGTACATACAGCATCTTAATCTTTTTTTTTTTTTTAATTTTATTTATTTATTTATGTGTGTGTGTGTGTGGCCAGCTCAGCCCACCAGGGGGCGGGGCTGGCTGGCATGTGGTGCTGGGGGATTGAACCGCGGTCCCCGTGCTTTGCTAAGCTTGTTCTAAGTAGGTGCTTTAGACCACTGAGCCATCTCACCAGCCCCAACATCTTAATCTTTTTAAACCTCCTCTTCCCCTTCTCTTCCTTTCCTCCTCCAATTCTGGATTCCCTTACAAAGGTTCTCTCTTACTGTTCCTCTTATGTATCTTTTATTTCGCTCTGTATTTGTAGCATGAGCTTCTTAAATAAAAGAAATTGTGCAATATTTAAGCTTTTGTGTCTGATTTATTTCATTAAGCATCATGATCTGGTCTCAAGGTGTGTCCATTTTCTTACAAATGACTCAAATTTAGCCTTCTTTATAGCTGAGTAGTAGTGCAATGTGTGTGCACGTTATTTATATAAAATTTTCCCCATCCATTCATCTATTCACGGACACATAGGTCACTTCCAATATTTAGCTATTATAAATTGTGCTCCTAAGCATGGGTATGTGTGTATCACTGTAATATGATGTCTTTAACTCTTTTAGTTAAATACCTAGGAGAGTACTTTTGTTGATTTGTTTTTTAAAGAATCTTCATACTGATTTCCATAGTGGTTGCACAAGTGATCTAAATTTAAAAGGTCAATTAAAAGATAGAGATCGACAGAACAGATACAAGACTAAAATAAACAAACCAACCCCAGCTGGGCATGGTGGCATATACCTGCAATCCCAGTACTAAGTTTCTCTGCTGAAGCAGGAAGACTGCAATGAGTTCAAGGACAACTGAAACTATGCAGCAAAACCCTGCATCAACCCCACACCTCTCAAAAATGACCCATTTATTTGCTGCCTATAAGAAGCCCACTTGAAAGATAATGACAGATGAGCCTAAAAGAAACTGTAGAGCTGGGAATGGTGGCACATTCTTGTAATCTCAAAATTTGGGAAGCTGAAGCAGTAGGCCTGCCAGAAGTTCGAGGCCAGTCTGTGCCCCATAATGAGTTCAAGGTCAGTTTTGAATACACACCAAGACGCTGTCTCAAAAATAAAACAAACAAACAAACAAAAACCAAAAACCAAAAAATTAAAATGGTGGAGAAAGACCTAACATATAAACATTAATCAAAAAAAAGTAAGAATGGCAATTTATAAAAGTCAGATAACACTGTGGAGAAAAGAAAACTATGAAGTTCAGACTGGAACATCTGACAATGACAAAGGGGTGAATTCACAGAAGACAACAAACAACCCTAAATTTGTATGCATCCAACATCAGAGCTTTAAAGTATGTGAAGCAAAAATCTGATAGGACTGAATGAAACAGACAAATCCACAATTATATCTGGGTACTTCCTCTTTCAACAATTAGAATGAGTAGAAAGAAATTCTGCAAGTAAATAGAATGCAGCCATACATTATACCAACAAGATATAACTGATTATACCAAGAACAGCAGAACACACAACCTTTTCAAGTGTCTATACAATATAAAGATAAACCTTATTTTGAGCCATAAAATAACTTCAATAAATTTAAACAATTGAATAAATAAAGAATACTCTATAAAATTATAGAAGTGGACCAGGCCTGGTGACACACATCTAT